GTACGAAGAATTTTCCCTCGAATGCCCCAGGTATCTCGTTGAAGGCTTCGTGCACAAGAAAGGAAAAAATGCAAATTGTTTCGGTGCTCATCCTTGGATTCAGGAGCTCATTTGATATGTTGTAGAATGACAAATAGCGAACAAAATATCACAGTCTTGAGCTTAAGTATGTTGTTCTGACCTTAAGTCAGCTCAAAATACAAAGGTGGTTTGCAACGATTTTTGCAATGACTATAAATATTGTTGCCCCAAAACAGCATCGTTTACCATGATGATCAATAAGTCAATATTCTTTCAAAGACCATGGACATATTCAATAGGGTCTACAGATTTATCTGCTTGCTCTCGATCTCCAATCAAAGTCAAACTGAAACGCTGGGAGTCATTGGAAATATAAGCATTTTGAACACGGGAAACACTCACGCGTCCGCCATCTTGTTTTCAGGAATTTTGGCGCATGCGCAGCGGTTTTTTAGCCGTGTCATGCTCGGTTCGAACGTGCTAGTATTCAATCAAACGGGAATATTCTAGAGGAATCCCCATCATGGAAAATTTGAGAAGCTTCTAGAGACTTCACTTCCGGCCGCCATATTGAAAACAATAGTACCCAGGTCTCCTCCAATAGCTTTATCGAAAATCAAAAAAACGCATTTTATAGACACTTTTTAATAAAATAAAAAATATTTTAACGGTATTTAAGAAAGGAAGATGTTATTTTTGATATGATAAGACTCCAAAAGGATGTATTTTAGTGATTTTTCAATTTTTTCCCCATCATGGGATCCCTATTTAACTTAGTTTTTCTCAATTGTTTTTACCACAGATAGACCATAATCACAAAGACAACATGGAAGAATCTTCTTGAAGGCACTTGAAGATTCCAGAAAATAATTGGGTTATTAGGTAAATAGCTAATTTTGGAAATATTTGATATTGTTATCTTGATTTTCAAGAACTTTGGGTCCTTGTGACAGGGCTATATCGTCGTTAACCCATACACGACGATACATTGACATTATTAGGAATATTCCAGTGGTTTCTRAATATTGTTCTGGATATTGGAATTTGAACGCTGTATTTCCATATTTTTTGTAATGTGTACTGTGCTTTCTAGAAGTTCAAGTTTTGTATAGTTGTTTACAGTAAAGTCAGTTGTGCAGAATGTTCTAGCACGTTCTATGTACTACATTAGATTGCACATATTCTAGGGTTTTTCTGGAAGTTTCTAGAATGTGGGTTTCTAGATCCTTAGCTTCTATGTTAATTTCCAGAAGGTTCTGGAATTCATATTTTTCTAGAATGTTCTAGATGATGTAAGTTACTATTTTTAGCATGACCATTACATAATCAAGTTTTTGAGAGAGCATATATAATATGGAAGCTCGCATGTGGTGAGCTTAAGTGCTTGATGGCTATTCAGAGTTTGTGTGCTGATCAGGATTTGTGGACAAGAGAGTCGGTTGAGTTAATGGAAGCCACCAAGCAAGTAAGGCAAGTTGTTAAGAAGACTAAGAGTAGACTTGGTAAAGTAAGGTAGTCTGAACTTGTGCTTGTAAGTATGAGCTGTTTGGTCATTTATTAAAGAACGTTGACTGGATTATTGGGTGGCATGTTACTGCTCACCTCTCACCGCTGTGGTCTGGGCTCAAGCCCCAGCTCAGACTATAGATCATATGTGCGTTGAGTTTGTTTGATGTTGTTCTCCCATGCCACGAGGGTTTTCTCCGGGTACTCCTGTTTCCTCCCTCCACAAAAATCAAAATGTGAGTTGAGTGTTGCATGTTGTAAATATAGAATAGAGTGGTAGTGCGTGTTTTATTACCTGTTGTTGGTGAAGCTGGTGTACGACAGCCCTTAATTTTTATCCGCCTCCCATCCCTCCACAAAATAGAGAAAGCTTGCATAGTACAGATATTGCTGTAATTATATTTATTTAATCAAGAAGAAACTGTTACTGTTACAAATATTTTTTTCTATTCTTTTTACTGTTTATCAAGTATTTCTTTCCTTATAGTACACTCAACAAAATTACAGGACTCTGATTGGCCGAGAGGAGTACAATTATAGCGTTAATTGTACTTCATAGGAGTACTGAATTAAGTCGTTATGGCAACATGGCCAAACAATGTCAAAACAATTATTTTCTATCATTTTGTACTTAAACAACATATAAATAAAATTTTAAAGCCGTAAGAACTAATCTTTTTTATGCATTTCAGTTGCGCGTTTGACTGAAAATCGGCGGCCAAATAGACAAAGATGAGTGGCGTCGCTTCGCATTTTTTACTGAAATTTTGTTGAGTGAACTATAAACAAAAAATCGCACGATCTTCTTGTACAATTTGGAATTAATAGACACTCGTAATGTTTTGAAAGTTCTTTAATTGCACTCGCCTAAAGGCTCGTGCTATTACAAGAACTTTCAAAACATTACTCATGTCTATTAATTTCCAAATTGTACTTGAGATCGTGCGATTTCCTATACAAATATTATTAAGGTTTGAAAGTCTTTTAAAAATGCTTTCAGGTATTTCAACAGAACATTTAGCAATCCTAAACTTTTTAGGAAAATCCTAGACACATATCATCATTACATAAATTCAAACTAGAGTACAAACACTATAAGTGTGCGACATAAATACCACTAAATACTGCTAGGTTATGCTAATCCTATTGTTTTCTATTGATTAATTAGCACTATTTACTACTAAATAGTGCAAAGTGTTGCACACTTAACTTTTTAAGTGTTTGTACTCTAGTAATTAAATACAGCCATATATTTACAATAAAAAAGTATTGATAAAATAATAATTTATTTTTTTGGTAGAAGCTAGGAGAATATTAAAAAGAAAATGAAAATGACTATGCAAGATCTAATCAAAAACTATGATCATATAGAATATGGGTACCTATTTGCCGATCAGCAGACAGGATTGCCAATTAATTTCAAGGGCGGATCCAGGGGGGCTGAACCCTCCCCCCCACCCTTCAGCAGATTTTTTATATTGTTTTGCCATTGTGTTGACGGAAGAATCTCAATTAGCCCCTCCCCCCGTAAAATAAAATTTTGGATGGATCCGCCCTTGGTCCGAACGTCAGTATTGTTATAAACTTTTCAATTGTAAC